TCTAAAAATTCATATAAACTTAAAATGTTTACATAACAAAATGAGTAAGGAAACATTTTTTTTTTTGCGCAAATAGGAACTCTTGTTTTATCCTCCAAATAACAAACAGATTAGCATGTTGCTTTTAAATCTGCCCTACTCATAGATATTTGATACATATCAATTGTGTTATGTATTATCCTGTAAAAGTTCAAGAAACAAAATCAAGTACCTTTAACAATTATACATTCAGAGATCACATACAAGACACACTCCAATGACCTTACTTAGGAAGTTAATTTTGTTAAAAAAATTAATCACAAGAGGTATTTTTAAGAAAACCCATGCATTTCAATTCTCACACTCTTGCGATTCATTACTGCCCCTTTAAAATGCTCCCATGAGTACCTGACTTATTTTCACCTTTCTTTAAAGCAATCTCCCTCAGAACCCCCTATATTTCTAAAAATATGACACTATAATGCCATCTGGTTGTTGGCAAAGCCAACGTAACAGGAAGTAGAAGCAACAAGTAGCAATCCTTATTTTAAAGTATTTTAAAGAAATCAAGACTGAAAACTTCACATTTAGGTTTCCGAATACACAGATTTTTGCTTTGTCTTTTCAGAGTTTCACTGAAAGTCCTTATTAACGAACACCCATGGAAAAGATGAATTTATCATAGAGGGTAGTGAACTTTGACCCCAATGATAAAAATACACTCGATTTTACTAGACTTGTAGATCTTTCCCAGTGCCAGGAGAAAACACGTCATCAAGTGTTTCTGAGGACACTTAGAGATGTTCTTAACTGCTTGTCAGAAACCAGACGCATGGTCATGCACATACTCCAAACTTTTCTCTAGGTCAGGTGACTGACTCACTCACAGCGACAGGTGTGGCTTTATGAAACCCGGTCCCTGGAGGCCGCCGCGTCCACAATGTGCGGACACTGCAAAGAGAGCCTCCACTCAAGCCCGTTTACATGTGGTGATGGACAGCAGGGGCTGCAGCCGGGCTATTTTTGATCCTGTCATGCGACAAGGGTTTCCAGCGGGTAAAATGTCTTTATAAGGCCAAAGTAAAACATCTATCAGCAGCGAAGTCCAGCCAGTATGAATCTCACTGATAGGGAAACATTAACCCCTGTACTCCCAAAGCTCTAAGGACAACAGGATGGCTACCAGGTTTGTATCTTTGAAAGAATGCTGGTAACTGAAAATGAGTTTAGCCTATAAAAAAGGTAGGATGAAGTGTGTGTGTGTGTGTGTGTGTGTGTGTGTGTGAAGAATGCACTAGAAGATAGGCAGGGCTGCTTACAGGACTCTTGTCTCTGCACTGATTTTATATTAATAGTTTTCATTTGATAATGCCAACCAATGAGAGTGTAGAGTTCCCTGGCATATCAGAACCCTACATGAAGTTTGGCAAGGGTCAGGAATACGTCTGGAAGGCACATGAAATCCAGAGGCTCAGGGAAAGGAGAACCCAGAAGACCAAAGAGAGCCTAAAATACCTCCGTTCAGGAAGGAAGGCAGGAAAGGACCAAAGGCTAAGGTGGTGCTTCGGAAGCCATTCTTGCATTAGGAGGTCTTTTACTAGTTTAAGGAGCTCATGAAGGCAATCTGAGAATCTGTCTCCCCTACCTACCAGTGTCCCTTCCCTCAATTAATCACACAGTGGGCGTACCTAGCGGTTACAAAAGCACAAGAACAAGGCAGATACCTTGGGCAACTGTCAAAAAACACTGACTACATTTTCCTTTTCTTTTTCAGGTCCCCTGACATCTCTTTGTGACTTCTGACATTCTAACTGGTGTCCTCTTCCAGTCTATCACCAGACTGCTGGCAAAGTCTTCATTCCATTTGCTTGTTCTTGTAACCTGTGGCCCCTTTGGCATGCTACGCCTTTTATGCTTCTGGCTCCAAAACATTCCTTCCAGTATTTCTTTCCACCTTTCCTCGAACCCGGGTCAGCTGGACTCCTCAGTGCTCCCTGGACAAGCCACGCATATTTAGATCCTCACTTTGCTCATGCCGTCCCTTTGCCAGGGAAGCCAAACCTCATTCCATCTCTACCTGTTGAAATCCAAATCTTTTCCACCGTAGGTCTAGCGCTCACTCTGTAGAGAGCCTTCAGGAATTTGCTTCACGTTCTGGTCTCACACTTCTCATATGTGACATGAATCCAATTATTTCCAACCCTGAATTGCTGTGCATTAAATAACATTATCTACGCACAGAGCCTACAATGATGAATAAAGGAGGCACTCAATACAAGAGTACCTTATTCTCGACCATCCTTTAAAAATCTAGGTCAGCTTCTAACTCTTTCATGAAGACTTCTTGGGTCCCAAGAACCTGATGTCTCCCTCCTTGTCTTAAGCCACACCCTTCTGGGGGCTTCTCAGTTTTCTTACTAGATTACAAGGGAGAATGGAATTGTGTCTTTCTGGCTATAACTTGACAGAGGAAAGAACACAGCTTTTGAGGTCAGGAAAATCATGATTATGAACCTAGAACCAGACTCTATTACTTATTAGCCCTGTGGCAAGTTAATTAACCTCTCTGTATCTGTTTTTTCACCCATGGAAAGAACATTCACTGGCTGACATGAACAGCTTGAGTCAAATAAGTATTGTGAGAATTACATGATTTATGTAAATCTCTTACTAGTACCAGGCATGTAGGAGATGTTCACTTAATGTTACTGTCCCTCCTGCCCCCCCTTAGTGGATAGTATAGTATCTAGTACAGTGTTAATACAACTAGCATAAAGCTGAACACTTAAGGGGCACCTGGGTGGCTCAGTCGTTTAGGCTTCTGCCTTCAGCTCAGGTCGTGATCTCCGGGTCCTGGAATCGAGCCCCGCATCGGGCTCCACACTCAGTGGGGAGTCTGCTTCTCCTTCCCCTTCTGCCCCTCCCCACCTCTCTCTCTCTCTCTCTCTCTCTGTCTCAAATAAATAAATAAACTCTTCAACCCCCCCCAAAACCCTGAGCACTTAAAGGTATACTCAATAAATGTTTAAGGGTATTTCAAACTGCTCTAAACCAGCCTAGAATTTTCTACTCACAGATGCATAGTCTTTCCTCTCTAAGGTTTCAATAAGAAAATGCTTCTTGCAACCAGAAAGTATTTCTAAGACATTGTTTAGCAAATGCACGAGTCTCTATACATCTGCCCACTGTGTTGCATCAGAAATTCCTTCAAGCCAGGATTTTCTCTTGAAAAGCCCAGTATATGGCCCCCTTAAATGGGAGCCATTTAAGGACCACATAAAAAATAGTTCAGTTACTAGAACTTCAAAGAAGTCAAGTAAGATTAAAAATTCTCAAGCTTTTTTCCAGGCCTAAAATAAAAACGTGTGGCATTCCAACAGAATTGAGGATGACCAGGTGTGATTTGTTAGGTACAGACTCTGGGAATTAGAGCAGTGTTAAAGAACCCCTTAAAAAAAAGAAAAGAGAAAGCCTGCAATGCTATCTATTTCTAATAAGAATCTCAAGTTCAAACAACTTATGCAAACAGTAATAATCACCATCCTTTATAAAGACAGCTTAATATTAGCAGGGATGAACAACAAAAGGTTACTATCAAAGCATACTTGATTTAAAATTTCCATAGGACATTTTATTCTGGTTATTCTTATTTTCCTTGTGCTACTTTCTTTCTCAAGGATCAATGCAGACTACCACAGCCAGTCCAAATTTCTATGTCCAGCTCTCAATATCTTCCATAAACAGTCTGGTTTCTCCATGCACTAAATCTTTTTCTCTTCTCTGCCTTTGCTTATGTTCACCTCATCCTATAGCCCTCAGGCATGTCCCTTGCTCCTGTTACCTGTCCAGGACATACCCACTGGTCCAAGACTAGTTCAAGTCCCATGAAGCCTTGTGCACCTCTCCAATTCTCCTGTTTTCTTGCTATTCTGAATTCCTTTTGTCCTAAATACCAAGTATCTTAGCAACTAGTAGTTCTTGATTGGTTTGTGTTAGTTTTGCAGTCTCCTTATTTTGTATCACCTACTTAGCACAGAAAAACATAAACACATGCTAATACCTGTTGATCGATTTAGCCGCATAACTGTTTAAAGACTATTATTGTGAGATCATGACTAAGTTTATCATCACTTCTTAGGATGTATGTTCTCCTCCCTAATCCCACCTTACACGTAGTCTAGACGAAAGAGGAGAGGACCCACAGAAGTAGCTGGACCCATCAACCCACTATTTGTTGTCGGTACCCAGGATGGTTGGGATGGGGCACTGATAAATAGCTATGAGGTATGAGGGCCCTTTCTAATCATATTGGACAGAATACTCTCCCACGGTTTTAAAAAGTAAGAGTTGGCGGTAAGGTGAAGAATCCCTATGTTAAAGGGAGGGTTTTAAGAAGGTATTCGTGGAAAACAACCTGGCCCTACCAAGTGCAATGATTATTACTTTTTCTGGTCTATCCTTGGAGACACATAAGGTGGATATCTATCTATCTATCTATCTATCTATCTATCTATCTATCTATCTATCTATCTATCTAGAATCTGACCTTCCAGGTTACACAGGTAGATATTTAGGTGCTAAACTAGAGCAGAAACGATAGCTGAGGATAAAACACCTCTTGAACAATTAGACTATTTAAAAAGCTGAAATCTCTGTCACTAGAGTTCTAGCAATGTCAATCAGGTAGAATACAGCCCAAACAGACTCTAAGTAGTCCGAGTAAATTTAGGTGGTAGGGATCGCCCACTTATGTTGTCTGAACAGAAGGGAAAGAAGGGCACTCAGAGGAGGAAAGCTGGTAATCACAGAGCCCAAAGGGAACACAAAGATGAGCAGCCTGTTGACCTGAGTTAGGTCTGAAAGGTGAAAGTGCCACTCGACTCAAAAAACTGGCTAGTGTCAGTGAAATCTGATGAGTGTTTGTTGAACCTTTAAATGAGAAGGCCTAAAAGTGGATATACATTGCAAAAGAAAGAACCCCATTCCCAGAAAACTCCCCAGTAAAACAGAAACTTAGGACATGCAAGCAATGAATCTGTATTCTCACAGAGGGAAATCACACAATTTAGCACTCACTACAAAAATACGGTTAAGTGGAAGTCACAGGCTACAGCTTAAAAGCAAGAAAAAAAAAAAAGGCCCTTTGCTTCCCATGGCAAAGTCAAAAGTCAACACTCCTCAACACCACCACCAAAACCAAAAACACAAAGAGCCCCTTCCCCGAGGAAAAGAAAACACTTTCACTACAGCTCTTTTCAATTAAGTAAAAAGCACACAGTTTAGCTATCAACACCACTTCATTACTGTAATAAATAAAATAAAGCACACGGAGGTCTATTGACTATTGTGAAAAATAAAACAACACCAACATCCATGCATCGTTAATCACCATCTGAGCTTGTGTGTCTGAGTCTACTGGTTACAGAGTTTAATTCCAAACAGAACTATTCCACCTCTTATCATCGTATCCTTCTGATCAGTTAGCTTAACTGTATACGAGCCCTGTCAGGTTAGAAAGAGATAAATAACATTGAGTCAAGTTGAACAGTAATCATGGTGCTGGGACACAATCGTCTTGTACACAAGTCATACCTGGTAGTTTTGTTTTGTTTTGTTTTGTTAATCATAAGCTCAAAATTTGTCTGGTTTGGAGGCTGCAAACTTGGTCAGTAACTTGACTCATCTAAAAATATTTATATTATCAGCATCAAAAAGGTACAAACATATATAAATATGTATCACAAGGAACATTCTGTGACATGATGGTCTTGTCTGTATATAACAGAGGCAGGTTAACAGATGATACTTATCAAAACTTAGGAGGGCCTGATGAACTGACTTACCCAAAAGGTCTTTGTATGAGGGCTGGATGCAGTTGTTGAACACCGAAGGCAAAACCTAACAATAAAACATACCACATTCTCTATTTGTGCATGGTTAGGCATTTATTACTCCTACATATTAAAATGCAATCACAACTTTCACTTGGAGAAGATCACCATTCTTTTGATGCTTTACAGAAAATATTATAAATATTATATATATTACAAATATATATATTTGAAAATTCTTTTTACTGATGTTATCATTATAGATATATATTATAAATATATACATACATATATTTAAAAGTTCTTTTTACTAATGTTATCATGGACCCAAGTAAAAATTTTAATAGGCTACAGGTGGAAACTAAAAATTATCTGCAAAGTTTGACAGTCATACAAGAAGACCGTAGAAAATTAGGCCAGGGAAAAATTCTTGTGGAATGAAACCAGGAACAACAGGACTTGATAATGAAGTTACATGTCACAAATATTCCTGCAATTCTGAATCATGATCTATAAAAAGTCTTTGTAATTTGGAACATGCTGGACAATGCTTTGGAAGATTATGGGTTTTACAGATTATGGTATTAAAAATGCACAAAAACAAAGTCTCCTTTTCTGGATAGCACACACACAAACACAAGTCTTTTAATGTTCACGGATATGGGCACATGCACTCACTTTCTTGACAATCTAGTTCCCTAGTAAATCCATTTGGATGGAAGTGTCAACCTCTTTCCAAAATTTCGGATGGAAACACTTGAGTGAAGAGTATAATGACTTAACAAAACAGAGTTGCTTACCCAAGAAAAAGATTACCGTTCGCTCAACAGTCAACTCTTAATCATTCATGCTAATGGTAAAGGCAATGTTGTAAATAATCCAAAAGGTCAAATTTTCACATAGACAAAAGCCTGCTTCCCTTTTGACGACTAATAGCTGCATGACTGAAGTAAAACATTTTCCATCTCTAAGTGTCGGTTTATCTGTTACACGAGGGCCCAGGCGTACCTGAAATCTCCCCATTTTCTTTGATTACTAATAGTCTTGTGATTTTATGTTAAAGCTTTACCATCCAGACACCACCCCCTACCCCTAGGCTTCTCTTGGGTCAGTGTTCAAGTTGGATTGCCCGCTCTGAGCACAGGGCCACTGGTGGTGGAAGGAGAGACAACAGTATGTAGGGAGGTATAACCAGCCAGAGGTGACACATTTGGCCCACAAAATCCACATGTGAATGATCTACAAGTGGCGAGAAACTGGAAAATAAAAGAGTAGACTGACTGTATGTCATACCTGAAACAGATGAGTCAAGCCTAAGTCTGGGTGGGTACAAACTGTCCAGACCCTCAAGATCTACTTTTGCACATAGGTACATTTCAAGTCCTGCAAGAGCCGGTGACAACGCTCATTTAATATCTTGATAGAATAACCAGCCATGGTTCAACTTTACTAAACATCTACAATGTCTTCTGAAACAGGGATTCATTCTATTCAGAAGTTGGGGGGGGGTCCTCAAGGGGGGGGCGTGGAGTGGGTAGGAGGAACATTTCTTACCTGGTTGCATGATCCTTGGTTTTGCTCCCAAGTATGCCAGATTCACATTGGCCTTCCTGCCATCAATGATGGGGTTCGGATCCTTGCAGGCTCTCTCAGCAGCAGCTCGGTCAGCCATGGTGACCTTAGCAACATACACACACACACATACATACAAAGCTCTAAATCAACCCCTGAAGGAAACCAAGAATCACACTGGAGAAGTCATTCATGAGAAAACTGAGGGGGTTCTTAAACTCTTTCTTTCTCTTTTCTTTCTTTCTTTCTCTCTTTCTCTCTCTCTCTCTCTTTTTCTTCCTTCCTTCCCTCCTTTTCCTTTTTCTTTTCCTGGAACTTACTCCTTGATCGCCCGTCAAAAAAGAAAAGAAAAGAAAAGAAAAAACAGAGAGGAAGAAAGAAACAACCCCCTCCTGACACCCCCAAAGTCTTCAGGGCGCTAGTAGGGCCTAGCAGGGAGTCGGAAGCCTGAATTCCGTCTTGCAACTCTAGATCCTCCCGCCCCCGACCGCCACCCCCACCAGGTCCCTACCCAGCCCAAGAGGCACTGTTTGCTTTAAAGAAAGTCCAGCCTCACATCCAGCGGGTGCTCCCAACCATCAGCAAGCACTCCCTAACGACCATAGCTATTGTCCTACTCTGGAGCTCCCGGCTCTCCAGCAGCTGAATTTGCACGCTTAAATCCCCAGGAGGCTTAATATGCTCTCCTTCAGTTCAGCAAAGAGCTAGAGGATCATCTTTTTAAAGAATCCATCTTTGCCATTTAAAAAAAAGTGGGGGGTGGCATAAGGAGTAGAGCCCTAGACCTCCTAGGGTGTCCCCTCCCCGCCCCAGCCGGAACGCCTGAAGACACGCATTTTCACAAAGCAACAGCGCGCTTAACCACCGGCCTCCAACCCCGGCGTGCGATTCCGAGGGGCTGCGGCCCCTCCCTCCCAGCCCCGCGCACCCGCAAATCCAGCAGTGGTTAGTTCTCTCCTTCCACCCCCGCTCCGCCTGTCCCCCCGACACCGCAGGGCGCTGGGTCCCCTCGAAACCCCGCGAGGCAGCAGAGCCCTCCCTCCCCCAGCTCCGCCGCGCGCAAACTTTCAGTTCAGCCGGGAGCAAAGGGGCAGCGCCGCCCGCGTCCGCGGGGTTCTCACATTGTCACACCGAGCCCCCCACGGCAAACCCCGACCCCCCCCCCCGAGGCCCTGCGCCGCCCCGAGCCTCCCCGCCCCCGCGGTCCTCGATTTCCCCGCCGGGCCTTTTGTCGCCCCCACCCCACCCTCCCCAACCCCAAGCCCACGCCAGCCCGCAGCCGCGCAACTTACAAATCCGTAGCCCCGGGACTTGCCCGTCTGCCGGTCGGTGATGACCACCGCCTCCTCGATCTCGCCGAAGACCTCGAAGTACTTGCGCAGGCTGGCGTCGGTGGTGTGGTAGGGCAGCCCCCCGACGAAGATCTTGGTGTACGTCGTGTCCTTCTGGGTCGTGTGCATCTTCGCGCCCGCCCCGCGGCTCGGGCTCCGGCTGCGGCTGCGGCTGCGGCTCGGGCAGCGGCTGCGCCGCCTCCTCCGGC